GATCTCCAGTCAACTAGTTTGAGACTTTAAGTGGTCTCTACTGGAAATTATAGAGCCATAATGGTTTGATCTGAGGCTGAAAGAGTTTGATCTGTCAAGCGATTTTAGCCTTCATCTTTATTTCCCCTTGTCCTAAATCTTCTTAACTAATACTCTTTGTTAGATCACATGTTACACAGGTAGACCACTTCTGATAGATCAAGAACAAACGGCTTCCTTGCTTCCTGTCACCTGTTAATGGCCTGAGTTCTACCTGTTCGGCTTTCATCTACGTGCCAGAAAGTGTTTCCCAAACGCATGAAGCACATTTTACTCACAGTTCTTTTCTTTTGTTGAGGTTTTGGAGCTTCCAAATGTATTTTAAGCTCTGCCCAATCAGAGCGCAGGCTGTGCAACACATTAGCAGTGGCTTTAATGAACAAATACACTGAAAAGAATAAAAAAAGATCTAACAGATGTTGTTCCTTTGATGATGCTATGCAAGAAGTGTTCAAATTAAAGTCAAATGTGATTTTATTGTTACTTTACAAACAGGTTTTAGTGTTTTACAATTTGTATTTCATGCTCAGCTGGATAAGAAGTCATTAACTTAACAAACTTTGTCTTAAAGCAGCAATTAAAAATAACATTCAGTTGATTTTTGTTTTCTTTTGTTTATTTGCTATGGGTCATGTTTCACTGGAAACCAAGAGCAAAAATAACCTGCTCTGCACGTTACTGTATCCATTTCTTTTTTAGACAGGTTTATGGTCAACTGTCTCAGCTCTTCAACATATTTTTCGGTCATTTAAACACAATGAATCAGAAACTTGTTATACCTGCCTGCTCATGGCGACTAATGCATGACATGCAATATTCAACAAAGGAAAAATTGCATCACATTTATTAATGACAACAACCATTATTTATCCTGTCATTGCTGCCTGTCCCTTCATGTTGAAAGAGAGCTTCCTGACACCGTACTGACAGCTTACACGAGCACAAAGTGATTGAATTTCTATTGATTTTACTATGGACGGCAGCCTAAAATTACAAATTTGTTTCCTTGATGTATTATTAAAGGAGAACTGAATCTTCAGCTATGCGGCATAAATATTTATTTCTAAAAGTTTATTGTTTAGTACTTAAAAAAAAATAAAAATGCAAGTGAACTGCACGTTTTTGTGGATGCAATGACAGCTCCTGTTAGATTTGAATAGGAAATACATTTCTTGATGCTTGTTCATGAATGAAGATAGTATAGAGCAGGGGGTGGATCATAATCCAACTTTTTTTTTTACAAGAGGTTACACTTATATTAAAAAAAAAAAGTTTCAGTGCATCTGAAAGCTTTTATACATCAAAATACAATTAAAAAGAACAAGAATTTATGTTGTGCAGTTCTTTGAAGCCCCTATCTTACTGTGAAGGACCCATCAAACAGTAGCAATATGGATGCAATTATGACTCCTGGGTCAGTTTGTCTCTTTAGGGTTTAAGTGGGTTGGAGCGTTTCATGATTACAGACCTTACTGTGTGTTTAAAGCCAGAATGTTAGTGATTCTGGGGTTGCCTCTTTCTAAAAACTTAAACCAGACAGAAGCTGCACTCTGAACTCAGCACAAGTGCTGTTTGAACCGTTACAGTGTTGTTTACCATGAAATCTTACACGCTTTATTATCTCCTTACCACTGATCACAGCTCCTTTAAACTTTCTTTTCAACACTCTCTATAATAACAGAACTCTGTTCAAAATGTGAATTTATACTTCACTTTCTGTCATCTCAACAAGTTGAAATCAAAACATGCAATGATGTATATAGACTGAAAATATTTCACATTCTTTTATATATTATTCTAGCATACAAGCTAAGTAATTTAAGGATGTAAGAAGCAGCAGTATTTCCAACATTTAATCATCTCAAATGCCATAATTGCATGTTTAATGAGTGAAATTAAGCAGATGTCTAAATATAAATAAGGTCTGGTGCTTATTTACTGTATCTGTCTGAGAATCAGTTCCTTTCCCACAGTGCCGGTACACCCAGGTTTTACAGGTATGAAGTTGTCTTAAAAATTAAAGATTGGAAATGGTTTAGAACATCAAAGTTCATGCTCAATAATACAGGCAAAAAAAAAAAAAAAAATCCAATAAAAATTCAGTCAGGTAATCTGGGTGGTTTCTTTTTTGATTGAGACGTCGTCCTTCATCCAAAGGACTTCATTGGTCTGAGGAGTCACAACAAACTCAATTCCACCAGCAGCACACTCCCATAGTGGACCAACCAGTTTGCTGGTAATAAGATGGTTTCTGGGGCCCACCTTTTTCCCCAGCAACTCCTCTGAGGCAGCCATAGCTAAGGTGGTTCAAAACGTCTAAAAAAAAACAACAAAAAAAAACATCCAGATGACCTGAATGAACATTGTTGGATTTTTTTACCTGGATTATTGAGCATGAACTTTGATGTTTTGAACCACTTTGGCTAAGGCTGCCTCAGAGGAGTCGACAGGGGAGAGGGCAGACCCCAGAAACCATCTTATCACCAGCAAACTTGTTGGTCCACTATGTGAGTGTGCTGCTGGTGGAATTGAGTTTGTTGTAGCTCCTCAGACTGATGAAGTCCTTTGGATGAAGGACAAAATGTCTCAACAAAAAAAGAAACCAACCAGAGGACCTGACTGAACTTTGTTGGAAAATGGTTTTGGTTTAATCCATCTTCTCAATCTGTAGGTAAAAGAAATGTTGTTTGAAACTAAACAACCAAGGTATATTTTAGGAAGAGACAAGATTGGAACCTGGAAGTTGAAGCCACAGGAGGAACTCACCTCAATTTTTAAGTCCCGCCCTTCCAATGTAAACAAATGGAACCTTTTTGCGTTTTCTTTTTTAACATGCTGATTTTTGTTAAACTTGCATAGTTCTTTACTTTGCTGCTGTAGGTTCAAACATCCATTACTTTTAATATGATCATTTTTAATTAGACATTACATGCTGACACTTATCATATATGTCAGTGTCACAGCCTCAGTTCGTTAAGAGTGTGTGTATTCCTCATGAAATCAGGTCTATTTAAACATTTGAAATTTAGTGGTTAGGGTAACACTAGAAAATGGGACTCCGACTAAGTTAAACAACAAGGATAGACAAATTGAACAATAAAGGAATGCAAACAGGCAAGAAAAAAATACTTTACAAGATCAAGGTCTAGGTCAAGGTTTCTTTATTGTAATTTGCATCGTATGTGACGTATGTGGTAGAACACAATTGTGTACACAGGGTCCCAGTTACATGCAACAAAAGTATAAATTGTAAAAGAACAACAGTAATAAGATATAAGATATGAACTAAGAAATACGCTAAACTAAGAATATGCTAAGCACTAATAGTACAAAAACAATACGCCGAACAACAGCAGCATAATAGTGTCTTCTTTAAATTTAGTCTTCTGCTTCAGTATTTGGGACTTCCATCAGTTTGCTCTCCAGCCAGTTTATAATAAGTTTGACTCTTGTTTAATGGGAAATAATGCTACCTATACTATTGCTGTGGTTTGTGTGTTAACAGTTTTAAAGAACTGCTGGTATGTGTAATATGTCAGAGACGCTGTGCAGTTGAGGAGGAAAGTTTTCTCACACCAGAGCCATTGTTTCTAAACTGGCCAAGTATTTCTCAAATATATAATTTCACACACATCCTTTTGATGCACACACTTTGGCATGCAGTACATCAGACTGAGCATGGACTTTGGTGAATACATCAAACATATCACCATTTAGACACAAGTATGACATAAATACACACAAGCAGCACCCATACATTTTCATTGTCATATTGGTCCCTCTGGCCTTTTGTTTTGTTCTGTTAGTACATGTTCAGGATGACTTTAATGCCCAAGGTATGTGTATGCCTGCTGATAGGGGCGGCAGCAGTAGCATCTGTGAGTACTCTGGGTGGCCTGGTGTTCCTGTTGATAATTGGATCTTAAAGTTTGGGACTGGTACCGACTGATAAACACACACTAACACACACATACAGACACATTATAGAGGTAGACGTGGTTTTACGCCATGGAAGATTTGCCCGTTTGTATCTGTTTATGTCTGGGCACCAATGAAGGGATGGATTAGTTGTTCTTGCTAATGCTCTAAAACAGATTTTTTTAGTTTGTTTGTCCATGGACTTCATAGAAGAATCCAACTGTAAACAGAGTTCCTAAGTTACAGAACATTCTGCCAACTTTTATGAGCTACCTTTGCTTTCCATTTCCAGTGACATTTGGTTCTTGAGTTCCACTGCATGGGATTAAAGCATTAAAGAGAAAAAAATGTAAATATTATATGCCCTGATGGGTAATGTGCTGCTACATGTGGGTCACCCTCAGGGTCATTAGTTGATGCCAAAAAATGAAAAACGACACTGGTGTTTGTTTGGGTAATGCCTGCATCCATCATGTTATGTGATATCAGGACGTTTAACCACATACTTAGAGAAAGACCACCTGGATTTCTTAATGTGAAAGCAACATTTTTTTCAGTGGTGTTGTGTCATTTAATGTACTGTGGAATCTTGTTTGAAAGAACAAATAAAAAGCTAGTTGTTGGTTGTTTTTTTTTAACATACCATTATATGTATATAATACATTTATTCCTTTTCTTCTTTCTCTGCATCTCTATTCCATCACACTCCCATGCTTCTTCTTTTTTCTTGGGACGGCTGTGGCTGAGTGGTTAGAGCAGCCATCCCCCCAGTGCAAAAGCTGGGGTTTGATTCCGCCAGCAGTCACATGCTGAAGTGTCCCTGGGCAAGACATTGAAGCACCCATTGCCTCCGATGTGTGTCCCATAAGTGTATGAATGTGATCAAGCACTGATTAGTCTTTGTACAGACATAGTGGAGTGCTGTATGAATGCACAGATTGTACTGTAAAGTGCTTTGTGTGTCTTGATAAGATAGAAAAATGCTATGTAAGTGCAGTCCATTGACCTTTTTCTTTATTTTTCTTTGTCTCTTTTTATTGCAGGTTGTTGTCGACAACATGAGAAGGAAGTGCAAGTGCCATGGGACATCGGGGAGCTGCCAGCTAAAGACCTGCTGGCAGGTCACTCCAGAGTTTCGAGTGGTGGGATCAATTCTAAAGGAGCGCTTCCACATCGCCTCACTCATCAAGGCTCACAACCGGAACAATGGACAGCTGGACCACTCCAACCATAACAACCACAACCACCACAACCATCACCAACATCACAATCACAACCACCACTCGCATCGACGGCGGCCAAGCAGCAAAGAGCTGGTTTACTTTGAAAAGTCGCCAGATTTTTGCGAGCAGGACCTCAGTTCAGACTCATGGGGTACACAAGGTCGGATCTGCAACAAGACTAGCCCCGACATGGACAACTGTGAGAGTCTGTGCTGCGGGAGGGGCCACAATATTCTGCAGCAAACACGGAGCGAACGTTGCAACTGCAAATTTCACTGGTGCTGCTATGTGGTCTGCGAAGAGTGCAGGATAACAGAGTGGGTCAGTGTCTGCAAATGAAGAATAATAATAAAAAAAAGAGTTAGGAAAAAGAAAGGAAAGACATTGCTTTTTAACCCAAAGTGATTCGCTAATAAAGGGGAAATGACTGTAATACACACGCCCCAAACTTTTTGCGATGGACTGCAGTTTTGTCTTTGCAGAGCAGTTCAAAAAGAAAGCGTGAAGCAGTTGACCCTGCAAAAAGAAACATGTGTTGTCGGTAAAGTGTGAGCACATGCAGGATAAGACTGCCGCAACTCAGAAAAATGAGATGTGTATTGCAGTTACCTTGAGACTAAAGATCATAAATATATAAGATGGACATCTGAAAAAAAAAAAGAGTTCTGTTCACTTGCACACAGCTGCATCAGATTCAAGTTTGCAAAAAGAAAATCTAAATAGGCGCAGAGCTAACTGCTAATTACCTAATGAACCAACACTGACATACAGATAAATCTAGCCAGATATTTTTGTTGTCTCATATCCACAACATAAAGACACAAATGTAGATATCTTTGCAAGATTTCACAAACAAATAACAGACTGTGTTTGAGCACTTACAGGTTTTATATCTTGCTGAAAGAGTAAAGTATCAGAAAATATTTATTTCTAGAAGCTGCATCGTTGCACATTCAGTGTAGCAAGTTCAGCTTCGTATTGCTTCGAAAATGTTCACGATATTGTATGTAATAAAATATAAACTGCCAACCACTGTGACGTACTTTCAGTGGCACAAGTGCTCATTTTGAAAAGAAAAGAAAAAAAAAAAGTGAAGAATTGAATCTTAAGGTTAGGTCGTCTTACTGATAAAATTGTTGCAAACAAAGGCTTAGTACTTCCAAGGAATGCACAGTTTTTTAGTAGAAGTACCACTTTTATACACAAAACATTCATCATATAATGTCACTTGAATATGACAGTGTGAAACCACTAAAACAAGTTGTTGACACTTTTTTCTCAGACAATCACATAACGGCACAAATACATGAACTAATTTATCCAAAATATGCCACGTGTGGTTTATGTGTTGTTATGTAGGAGGACTGTCAGAGTGCAAAATTCAGATCTTCAATTAACAAGCATATTTTTCATATTTAACACAATCTGAACAACACTGTAAATAAAAAAATGAATAATGCAGCACATATGTCAACAATAATGTTTAGGTGCCACAGGAAACTGAGCGCACATGAACCAGCTCCAGTTGCACACGCTATAAACATTCTTAAGTGACATCAATCAAAGTGTTTCCTGTTTTGTGATGCAATGTCCTGTGGGCAGTGCTTTAAGCTCCTTGTTTTATATTCACACGTACCATCTTTACCCTTCTTCGATGTGTACAACACAGATATCCCAGTGTAAACTTCAGTGTAACAAGAAGAACGTTGACGAGGATTTCTGCTAGTGTATTTTTATAAGATCATATTTGGTCTCACCTTGTATGAGTAGAGCTTCTTATCAGACGGTGTAATTTATTTAAAGTCAAGGTTTCTGTGTTGAAAACAGAAAAAAAGTGGGATTATGTTTCCAGTGAAAAAGGTTTTCATTCTGATAAGTAGTTTGCACATACAAAACTGTGTCCAGGAAATCTCTGGGAAATTATCAGCAACGTGCGTTTGTTTCAAATGTTAAGTGTAATGTATGTTTGTATTTTTTTATGTTTTAATATGGATATTATCTAAGTTATTTTATTTTTTGTGGATAACTTAATATTTGTAAGACAATAAAGAAAGATGTGTTAATAACTAAGCCTTTTCTGTGATTGAGGATGCAATGTTGCAAAAATTCCATGTAAGTGCATCTGTTTATATGACATAACAAGGTTTTTAAGTAATTTATCAGTAGTTTTTTTTTTTTTTTACTATATTTGTTTTTGCAAGTTTTCCATATATAACATCACTTCATAAAATAAGAAAAAAAGATTAAACTGTATTCTAAACATTTTAGGCCTCTATTTCAACACATCTTGATGAAGAAATTGATCACAGATTTGGTTGACACTAGCTGTGACTTCAATCCAATTTTAGTTCAAACTTACTTGTACAAAGAAACTTTGCTCTCATTAACTGAAAAGAAAAAGTAAAATTTTGTTAAGTTTTTAAATGTATACCACTGATGGTTCTTGTCACACAGAAACCTCATGTCACTTAATAAAGTTGCCCGGTCTCACACAGCTTACCATTAAAATATATTATTCATTTGGCTACTTGAAGGCATAGAAGTACATGAAAATGCAACTTTTTTTTTTTAATAGGCCAGTTTATTGCTGCTGTTGACCATAATTTTGTACAAATTAAATGATATATCATAACATAAAAATATCCCACCACAATACAAATACACCAACATTTTCTATAATAAAACACATGTCTGGTGCTGAAAGACAATAAAACAGGTAAATACAATTCACTTTATTCATTCATTTAACCTTTATTTACACAGGTTAGTCTCACTGAGTCACAAGGACTCATTTTCAAGAGAGATCTGTTTTAGACAGATGACATAAAGTACAGTATACGTACCCTGTGGACCCTCTCCACTTTAGAGTTTCGGGTTAATCTGACTCTCTCACTAGAGTAATCTGGTTTACTTGAGTCACTTGAGTTGGTTAGGCTTTTCTGAAAGTAATTATTGGATACTCTACAACTTATATTTACTTATATTTAGAAGTTATATGACAACTACCCCATTTCAAGATGACCATCACAGCCAACAGACTACAAAATATTTAAATGACTACAATTCAATACATTTTACAGAAATTAGGCTAAAATTTAGTATAGTAGAAACTGAAAGATATTCCTTACATATGCTTAGAAGAGAGTACTACTCATTAGGCAAACTCATACCTTTATGCTTTGATATATTTGTTGGAGTTCACGTTTTTCATCTTTTAGCAAAATATTTTGTGAACCATTATATATATTTTTTTTTTCTTAAATTACCAGAAAGACTATAAACTTCTGACTTCTCAACATAGGTTTTAAACTTCCTTTATAAAAGTTTAAAATTCTTGTACGAAGTTGTCATCATTCTTTCGAGGAATCCTTAACCTTAGTCTATGTATGTATCTTGTTTGTATTTTATGTACCACATGAAACCTGTCCTGTAGGTTGTTTACCTCTTTTTGTGTTTTTATTTAGAAATATGCAATAATCAAAATTTTACATTGCACTGTTAAAAAATATAGAATTGTACTTGAAATAGCATTTGTGCTTAGACTGAGATGGTAATATTGTGGGTTTTCAGTTTAAAGAAAAAAAGACTAGTTGACTACAACATAAGTATTAGCTAATGTCATTTCATGAAAATACATGTAGAAGTTTGTATTATTTCCACAGTGAGTAAAGTACCCACAAAAACATAGTATTTCCAGCTGTTGGCCACCCTATTGTAATTGTAATCAGTACAGTAATTACTTTGACTCTACGTAGCCTGAATGTTTTGTCAGGAACCTTCAGATGTATGAAAACCAGATAAGACCACAAATCTGTGGTCAAATGTGACCCTCCCTCACCAGTTGCTGCTTGCGTGCAGAGTGAAATCCTGTTGAGTGTCCTGACTCACTTATATATTCTGTGCCCCAGAGGCAAGTGATGAAGTCACCAAGTCATGTGTAAGAACACAGGAGATACACTTCCAAAGTAAACAGACATGAAGTAAAAAAAAATGTGCTATTTCAGAGTCATGCTATTTTTTTCAACCTAATACAGCTGTGCTCCACAATTTGCTCCATCTGTATATTCATTTTAGCATCCAGGGCTCATTTTTCTGTGCACTGATCCAAGTGAAAATGCTCCACAGGTCCCTCCTAGTGTATAAATAGTTTATGTGTGAACATGTATTTGAGTGACACTGTTAGACAATTGCACGCGCAAGTTTGTTTTTTCAGCAGTATCTTGTTTCTCTTGGCCAGCACAAACGTTTAAGTGACAAAGTGGGTGTACGCACAGTAGTATTTTGCTTGCACAATAACCTAAAACCAATGTGGAACAACCTGCTGAGATTGCTACCAGGTTGTTCCTTGAGAACAAGAATGGAAGCTCAGTTAGGTCAGTTTTGATTGTGTTGTGAACAAGAATCGGTCAAAAAAGATAATAATATCAATAATATAATGAAAAATGTTTCCTTTTCTTCCTATATAGATGCCAGAATGAACTGAATACATGGCACTTACAAACCTAACATAAATCTAATTATTACTCAATTACTAAAAAAGTTACATTCCTGCAAAAATGCTGCTTGAATGCTTAATGACTGCTAAAAAAGGCTCAAATGAGCAAAAGTTTGACTACCAGTAATACTAAAAACCATTGCTCCCAACTCGTGAAAGAGACCTGACTGGATAAAACTGGTGAAAGTATGCACAATAGTAAAGAAACTACAAACAGAAGTCCCACAATTTCTTCTTGCATTACTTAAAAAAGGCTAAAATCAAATATTTGTATGCAAATAGCTTCTGCATGTGACTCGGAGGAACGCCAGGTCTGGACTTGTGCACTACGTTTATTTGAAGAGTGGCAGTTATTTTGATAGTGAGCAGGTCAAAAGCGACAGAAGATTTGGGCTGAAAAAACATCACGTCGCTAAGTTAGATTGATTATGTTGTAACAAGAACAGGCGTGCCCACATCACTTGTTAAACACTCTTTAATGGGTTTGGCATAAGGGTCAGATTTTAGTGTAATGAAGCCAAACTAAACACTCGGTGTACAAGTAAATAAGTGTCTTTTAAACAGGTGATAAATATTTTTATTTTTACTTTTTTTGCACCTTTTAAATGTATTTAACTCTAAAACAATTTGGACACTGATAAAAAAAAAAAAAACTGGCTTGTATAAGAAGGCCACTTGATGGTTTGAGTTAAAAAAATATTGTGAACTGTTATGTTTATTCGTACCTAGTATATGAGAATAATGTGTATGCACTGTCAACCGCAATTTATACCCAACAGTCTTTATGAATTAATTAAACTATTAAAGAAAATTTAGTTTAAACTCTCTTAACTGCAGAATAAAATAATTACCCAAAATGCAGACATGTTTGATCTTTCATTTGAGCTGACAAATATATATTAGAAATACCACAATTGCCTAATTGGCGTAGCTGCTTTCTGAAATTGCTTGTAAAGAATGTTCTGATGAGTTAGTTTTGCTCAAATGAATCAAAGAGCCATTATTGAATGCGCAAGTTGTTCAAAATCTATCCAACAAGACCAGAACATTCCTCCTGTGATTAATGTCTTAAGGTGTGTAGTAAGGTATGCAGGTTCAAGATAAGAAAAAGTTTCTGTCCCTCTGACAGTAACAAAAAGAGAGACGGATGCTG